GAGTTTTGGGTTAATAGCGATTTGGTTGGAATACAAAACTTAGTAATGTTGTATTTGCAGGCACGGGGTTTTCAGGGACATTTGTTTAGTTCTTTATATAAAAAATATTTATTGTGCCCATATCTTATTTATGGTAGATAAACGAGGTTTGTTTTTATTATTGCATTTTTTTTTTTTTTAATAAAACGTTGTTTTTCACTTGGTAACCTTTTTTGTAAATTCTGGTCATAAAATTTTTTGTCGTGTGGCAACCGTGGCTACAAACCTTTTGCTCGCCGAGACGAACACGTAGGTATGACTGTCTTCATAATAAGATGTGCGGCCTCGATGTCTATAGAGTTCTAACAAACGTGGAAGCATGGCTAAGCACTGAGGTAAATTGTTAGAAACCCCAATTGCTTCTCGTAAGTACATAAATGATTATTTGTGCAGTTCTTTTTTTCTTAGCTTATTGGAACTTTTAACTCCGTTGTTGGCAATTTGTTTGCGAACTTTTTGTAATCCTTTTAAAATAAGAGAAAAAATTGTCCTTTTTCGTCTGTGTGTTTACGAAATGTTTTGTTCTTTTATTTATACGAAATTCATATGATGTATCTACATACATACATAATTATTTATGGTATATGCTTTCATGCATTTTATATGTTTTCCTTCTACGAGTATACGTACATATTTATTTTTAATCTCTGAATTTTACAATAAATAATTTGTTTAATATATGTATGTAGTTTTACTAAGTACTTTAGTAACAAATATGCTTAGAGGAAAAGTACATTTTATATGTAAATACAAACAGTACTATACATATAAACACACATACATATGCACATACAAAAATGCATATTGTGTATGCATGGATGTGAATACATACATACATATGTATGTTTCTATGCATTCCTAAGTTGAGTAAATATTCAGTTTAGTATAAATAGTAAATAGTAGTGGTTACAAATTATTTTTTGAAACTAATATTTTTAATAATCCATATCCTTTAATTTTATTTTTTTCGAAGTCTCTCTCTATTATTAAAGTCTTTACATTGTTAGCTTTCTTTTACGAGTGTTAATGTTTTTAATGAAAATTTTTGATAAACTTTTAATGAATATAAATGCGTTATACGAGTACTTAGTTACGTAAAGAATTACTATGCCTAAGTTGAATGCGTAATTGTTGTTTTTTTTCTATGTATTTATGTAGGTAATGAAAAAATCGAAATTCATACATACATATGTACACATATATTGTTTTTATAGAACGCCTGCCTATGAGGTTGCATTAATTAATTCTTAATAAATAAGGGGTTAAAAATGCTTCTATTTGTTGTATGTAGATGAAAAGTATTGGTTACTTCTTATGATTTTAGTCAGTTCTATGTAATGCCGATATATGGGTCTACAAATTATATATATAGTTACATATATGTGTAGCACTTATTTACACCGAATATGCCTTATAAACCCCGAATCATGATTGCGACCAGTGGCAAGTACGCAGGTATTAAATTTCGGTAGCTACATGATAAGCAAGGGGGGGGGGATGGTGCAGCGTCTACCGATTTACAGAATTCCTTCATAAGTAGGCGTTGCCACGCTTATTTTCCAAAATTATCTTATTTTATGCCGAAATTCTACTTCACATTCCAACTTTCAATTTGGTTCCAGTCTTTACGGAAATATCGTAGTTTTAATATTTTTTTTTTGAAACCAACCTACTTTGGATAAAGGAAACTATTTATTTATCCCGAATTTCGTGGAGATATCTTAATTTTTGTTCAACTTATCGTGTACACGGACAGACGGACGTACACACAGGTATTTCTTAAACGACATTGCTCTTCATACTGAGCATTTTGGTATAAATGCATATATGTCTATATCTATCTTGATTCTTTTAGGCTGTTACAAGCAACCGCTCTCCGAACAAAGTTATAAAGCCCTTGTGCCAAGTGCGCTCGGATATAAAAAATAAAACCGGGTTTGTGTTTGAAATCTTATGTAGTTAAGAAGTGAAAACAGGGACCGTAACAGTTACAACTTTTATTAAAAAAAATCACTCTTTAACAATTATTTTTTGACTTTTATTTAATTACTCTTTAAATAACCGTTATTTCTGACTTTTATTTTATAAATCGAAAATAACAATTATTTTTGATTTTTATTTAAATAATCTGCAAATAACAGTTATTTTTGATTTTGAAATTATACGTCTTAAATAACAGTTATCGAAGACTTTTATTTATAAAAGTCATAAATAAAAATCAGTCACTGATCTTTATTTTTTCAATCATACTTATAAAAGTCATTTGAATAAGTCGTAGTAAACTTTTGTTTTCCAACACCTTCTTAACTGCGAAAAGGGTTAATGGCTTTTATATGATTGATTTAAAAAATGAAAGTCGGTCATTGATTTATATTAATGACTTTTAAAAGTAAAAGTCACCGACTGATTTTTATTGATGACTTTTATAGATAAAACTCTTCAATAACTGTTAGTTAAGCCATATAATATAAAAATCAAAAATAATTGTTATTTTGGATTTATAATATAAAACTCAAATATAATTGTTATTTTTTTAAATTTGCAAAGCGAAATCGATTGGTATGTTTCACTTAGTTGTAGAACATTTCCTTCATAGTGAATTTTTCCATGACAGTTTTCATCAATAACTGTTATGTTCGGTCCCTGAGTGAAACACATCTCCTGTGAATATTACAAAGGCAAACATAGTCTTTTAAGAAGAAACATTAATGTTTATTTTTTCGGTCGCAGTCTTGATTCGTTTGCGAGGAATATATCTAATAAGGGTACAACCTGTTTCTACGACCCACAAATTGCGCAATTTAGGCGCTATATACTCGTATTGCAAAATTGCGTTAATATTCTAGCTTTGGTCATAGGAAAACTTCAATTTCATGAATGCGACTCCAACATTTTCTTATAGTTCATTTCCACCAAAACCTTAACTGCAGTTAAGAGTACAGGTAAGTTCCAATTGAATTTGAACATAGTGTGATCGGGTGTGATCCGCAAGATTTATATCTTCCCTTTTGCTTCTTTACTTTCGTTTGCTTGTCCTAATATTCGCAATAACCCTCTAATTTAAAACTTCTAATACTGGCGGCAAGGCTTTGTGGAAATTAACTATTACTGCGAGTGTTCTTTAATTTTTAACTGTGGGCAAGGGGTGTGTGTTAATTTTGATAATACTTTTTGGTTTCGTACAATGAAAATGAATTATTTCAACATTAACAGCCGTATTCTAATAAAGTCACAAACCTTAGCTCATTATTGCTGTGATTATTACTGCGCCTCATTGGGACCCCTTCTGCGAATAGTTTCATTTCACAATTTGAACCGTCAGGTGAAGTCGAGTTATTACTAAAAATTCGTATTTATGATGCGATTTGGCTCATATTCGGGATATGTATTGATAATGAGCAATAATTTTACAAAAGGAAGTCGCCAGATAGCGCTGGAGTCCAGTGAGAAAATATGCCGTGAATGTCCGATTACGTCGACCTGCTGCACCACTGAGTTTCTCGAACTACCGTGTTTTCCAACAGGATGTTATTTACGAATATTTGGGCAATTCACAAGGTGTTGTGAAGTTATATTTTCCTAACAAAAGTTGTGTTAAAACACGACGGTTGTGAACACCTGTTACGATTATTTATTATATCTCAGCACTTTACCTCACATAACACCGAATAAACATAGGTTGCAGAGTTGTATCGTCATGTGTTATTTTTCTTCACAAAACAATAACAACATTTTTACAACTGTCATGAAATATCATGACTTCACGACAAACACGACAAATACGACACCTTGTGAATTGCCCAATTATTTACTCTGCGTTAAAGCACCAGGCTTAAGTTGTCCAGGAGTCAATCTCAAATAACTTCCGTTAAATCAACCATCAGACATTTAAGATATTTCGTCGGAAATAAGTCTATGTATGTACATTGGGATTCTGTAGAACAACGATACTCACTCACTTTTTTAAATTGCCCCCAACTATATATACAATACAGTTTCAAGGACAGATTGACCATCGAACCGGATCATTTTTGCCGTCAGGGAGTGAGGAGGATAAAGTGCTTAAAATTTAATTCGTTATTCGCTTTGAAACGCCCGATCATTGGACAAATTCCAAGAACGTTTTCGCGGACAAAATACTTTCGTTGGGTTATTTAAGACGGCCTTGGAAGTATGCCTTCCGACGACCACCAAAACCATATTATTAGCAGACAAATCGTTAACGTGAATTGTTTGTTGAAATGTTGGACCAAAATGTTTCAATAAAAAAATTTATCTTAATTTTATCTTTATCAGCAAAACCCACAAAATTTTGATTCGTGTGGTTTTCGCTATTTAATTAATTATATTTTATAAAAAAAGGTAAAATTTTGGTATGGAAAGTATAAAAAGCGTAAAAACTTCAGGGTATTCATATTTTTGACGCTGACTGTACATAAATTGATATACACTTTTCTTTTAGTTATTATGGTACATATTTTTGGGCGTATTTTTTAACATAAGAATCCGAGACCTACTGATAAATGTAGACCGGATTTTTATGCTAAAAAGTAAGCTTAAACATCTTAAACCATCCTGACTATAAGCAAAATGCATGAATTGGTAAGTGCTTTTCTTATAGCGGATGATGACGCATGTTTTAAAATTGAAATTGCGCAATTCGAGGATGGTAGAAACACAATATTATGTATGGTGAAAGAAATACATACTTAATATGCAGGTATTTTTTGAATGTTTAAGTACTAATTTTTAAATAAAGTAACATGCGAGTACATTTGATGAATGATTCACTGCTTATGTTATACGAGTAACATCTATTTTTTATTCTATGTAGCAAAAGTATCTGTGTTTTTTGCACGATATGTTCAACTATTTAGTACCTTCGAGACATTACAAGCAGAGTTCATTACATATCAACAAATCCATTTTTAATACGTTCACATATGAGTTGTTATTTAGAAAACTAAAATAAACTTATCGATACGTGTTTTAGTTGGATATAATCTATAAAAGTTTGAAAGATGATTAACGTGCAAATAAAAAAATAGCTTTGGTAGGGAAGTTTTTTCTTGAATAGAGATTCTGTCATTAAAACGACGACTTCATGATAGCACAGGAGTAGAAAATTTCACAAAACTCATGACGACAAACTTAATATAAATTTGACGATAACCACAACAAAAAAGTGATTCTGGACATGAAAAGTTGTCGAAATCACTGATTCAAACGATTATTTTTTTTATATTTTTTTTTGTCTGGCTCTTTTCAAGATACCGAAACTGCGAAAAGGACTCATTGGAAACTTTTCATTTTAACTTTCTGTCATTTTAAAAACAATTTTGGAATAAAAAATTTAAAAATTTTCGAAATTTTAAAATTCTGAATAAAAAAACTGATTTCCAATTTTCTTGAAAATTGTTTCTAAAAAACTGTCGCTAATTTTCCAACTTTTAAGCTTGGACTTACCTTTAAGCTTTAACTAATTGTAAAGTAACGGGATCTGTGTTTTCGAATTTTTAAATTAACGAAAAACTAAAAAATTGTGTCTAACTCAACGCCAAGAATTCTCATTGCATCAAATCAAAAGTATCTTCCTCTACAACGTAGTATTTTTCTCTTATAAAGATTGAAAAAATCATGGATGCCTCTTTCGATTGCTACTATAACATAAAAAATTATGAAACAAATCGGAGTTACAAAATCCAAGAGCTGATATTAGTAAAAAAAAATTGGTAAAAAATTGATAAAACATATGGCTGAAAGTAAAATTTATTATTGCACAACTTTAGGCGCTGCTCATATATCTCGAGAAGTAAGTTCAAAAGCGAATTAACACACGTTTTTTTCTGCAGCTTCTCAACCTGTCTGCACGTTGCTAATATTTCTACAAGTTGTTACTGATGCATAGGTTGGCAATTTACATCTCTTAGGACATTGCTATGTCAAAAACTACAAGTTTTAAAGTTCTCCGTGAACGACAATATCACTTTAAAGTTCTCTCAACATGTCCGTCCGATACGGAACGATGAGCTGCAAATATTTCAGCCACAAAAATATTCAATTAAGTAAAAATAAAAAAATGTGGACTGAAGAGAGAAGACTGGTGGTATTCTAGTTCATAACTAGTAGCTTTCCCTGCAGGAATGTTACGCGTTAATACTAATTACGAAATCAACTCCACTGCGCGATATATTCTGTACATAAACGCCGTTTTTCAATATAAATTTTCAGATATTTTATAGGCTTTCATTGAGACGACGCTATAATCTGTGTATCAAAGGATATTTGGCGACTTGTATTTAGCAAAGTGAATTCTAAGCTATTACTGCTTGCTTATAACTAAATTATTTATGAATATTTTTGTTTAATATTAAAAAAAACTACACATACCGTTATCAATAAGTATAAGTTTCGTAAGTGACTATTCTTTTGATAAAGTATACAGTTATAAATTTAACATCCTTGAGCTCTTCATTTTACCTTTATATGTCCACTAGACCGAATATCTGTACTAGTATGTTGCGAGTTACTCGTAAGGTTTCATGGGTTGCATCACTTTTAATCACTAATGTATAGTTGTTTATAGTCGAGAAAATCGCCTTTATAACGGCAACATAAATGTACAGTACATATATTCAAACATTTGTTTGCTAGATTTACGAAAATTTTATATTCATGTATGTATGTATGTATGTATATATAGTTTCGATTACATATATATGCAATATATAAACACGTCGATACATTTTGTAACATCTCAATACATATGTACGTACGTAAGTGATTACATCAAAATATATTTATGTATGTCTATTCATCTATGTATGTATATATGTAGTACTTCATATAAATATTTATTAATTACTATGCATTTGTAGCAATGTTTTTTTGCCATATTCCTGATATTTATGCGTTCTCTATATGTAAGTATTAAAGTTTTACTTTTCTTGTCGTCGCTCCCTCGCTCGCTCGCATTAATATTTATCATCTGTGCTTGACACACCACACTTCGAGCGTAAAATTGCTGCGAGTCGCTGCGTCAATGGCTCCGTTGGCGACTCCGAGTCACTACATGAAGTTGAGGGCAATTTGTTTCCTGCCATTTAGAGAAAATAAAGATAGGTACACGTATAAATATTTAAATTTTAATTCCTCTCCCGCCACATACCATTGCTGACATCCAAGTCCGGCGATGACAGTTCTTTGGTGAATTTCAAATTAACCGGCGCTATATCGTCTTCCTCCTCTAGCAATAAACTCGAATAGGAGTGCGTTGTATTGTCGCTGCGACTGCGTCCACCACCACCGCCGCCACCACTCGAAGAGTTACGCGATGAGAGCGAATTATTGCCGGTGCCCGCTGCAGCGCCTATCGAATTTGGATCATCGATTGGCAAATCATCGCCGCTGCTACTAATGACATCTTCTTCGTCATCCTCGTCATCGTCATCGTCTACCTCGTCTTCCTCGTCATCGTCGTCGTCGTCGTCGTCATCGTCGTCGTCATCAATTTCCACCACATCCTCATCATCTACATCCTCCTCTTCGGCTTCATCATCAACTGATTCACTCAGACTATCACCTGCCGAATCAATGCTGTCACTGCGACTACTCACATTCAGCTCATGGCTGTTCGAATCACCCAGTGAATTGCAATTATCCTCGGCCAGTCCGTACACATCAATCCCTCCCTCCATATTGTCAATGGGCTGGTCTTCAAAAGCCACTTCATCACTTTCACCTGCTGATGGATCCGAGGATTGAAGCTCTAAAACTGGATCGGGAGATGATGACTTATTGTAATTCTCATCACTATCGCTGGCCGCAGTACCTACTTATGTATACACGTATGTATGTTAGTTAAAGAGTGTGTATGACACCATTCTATGTACTAAATACGCGGTTTTCTACTTGTCAAACTTACCTCGTAGTTTTTCAATTATTAGCGGATAGAATTCTTTGGCTGTTGCATTGTTTGGTTCGTATTGTAAAACTGTTGAATTGTTCGTTTGTCCAGTTACAGTTGACAGTTTGTGAGTTGATTATGAAAGTAGTAGTAGAAATATAAGACGTTAGTAAAAGTTTGCTAGTTAATTAAAAGTTTTGATTTGCAGGTGTGTATTTATTATTTTGATAGCTGCGAAGATGAAACTTACTCAATTTGCAGTATTTCAAGGCCTTTTTGTAATCTTTAAGCATCACTGCTGAGAGAAACTGTAAATGGGAGAAGATAAAAATGTAATATACATACATATATGGAATATAAGATATGACATTGTATTTGTCAAAGACCATAAAATTCATTTATGTGAACAATCAAATTTATTTACATACTTTGTACTATGGGCCAGGAAACCGAAAAATTTGATCAAAAGTCATTCAAAATTTTTCAACAAAAATCCAAAGGTAACAAGTTTTTGTCCACCTCGATATGATGCCCATTTTTGGCCACATTTAATAAAAACCACATACGTACGCCCGAATTTCAAAATTTGTACAAGAATTAGTTTCATAAAAATGTCGAGCTCTTTAATGGGATTTTTTAGAAAAATTTTGAGTATGCGGTTTAGTATAATAAATTATCGAACATAATTTCTATGGAAAAATTGCGTAACAACGTCAACAAAAAAAAAAAAAAAATAAAGAAATAAATTGCGATACATAGAAAAATTGCGGAAGAGTGTTACTTATTTAGTTAATCGTCTACAGAAATACTCTTACAAACTATTACAGATTAATTAAACATTTTTAAAAAGGTCTAATTTAAATTTATACCGACTCTGGTTGAAATTTAGCTCTAGTGGAAAGTTATTCGCAGAAAACTCTAACTTTTAACAATATTCAAAATAAATGGTTAGCTATACACCATGAATAGAGATTTTCTAAATCTAAAAACAATCAGTTTTACGAGTATGACGAATTTTAAGGTAAAGCTTTACATCATCCGCAAACAATAAACATTTTGCCAAATCAAATACTTTAGATAAATCAATAATAAATATTAAAAATAATGCTACTCCAAACCTGCTCTTTATTATACTAAAATTGAACGGGCGACAAAATTGCATGATCAAAAAAATTCTAAGAAAAAAGTTTGAAATTTTTTTGAAAATTTTTGTTAATTTTTTCTTAAATTTTCTGCACAGTTCAAAGTTACGGTTTTCGTTAGAAAAAGAATTGTATTTTGATCGAAAAATAAGGGAAGTCAATTAAAAGATCCAGAAAAAATGGAAAAAGCATTGTGCCTATTCAAGTACATGTATTACAAAATGTCACTCATACGCCACGTCGCCCCAAGGAAAGAGTTTGTTTAGCCTGCAATAAGGGTGGGTGCAAAGTGGAAGCGCAGCCGAAGATGAAGCCGTTGCGCAAACGGTCATCTTAAAGCTGTGCGGTACTCTTTTCAAATACGAATCGCTTGCTGTGATGAGTTGTTTGCATTTCATTTAACTGTTTGTAATTGTCAAAAACCTGTTTTTGAAGAAATGGCAAAATTTTTCACAAAATGTAATCGAACGTATTAATTGATCGTCTTGTACATTCGAAAAATTTGTTCACGTCTTGCCGTAACTCGTTAATACAAGTGGTGAAATTCTCAAAAATTTGTTCTAGAAAAAGTTGTTATCTGTAGAAAAGGGTTTTCATTTAGAAACAATTCTTCATATGAAGACGAATCTGAGTCGAATCCATTTTAGATGCATAGCATCGCTCATCGGGTTGGCCGCAACGCAAGCAATTCTGTTTGGTAAGTTTTTTTTCGCGCAAGTTCTTCCATACAAAGAGTAATTCGACAATTATTTTTTGTATGGAGCAAATGAGCAACACCTTCCACTAAAAAAATTGCCAAAAATCAACGCGATTTTCTAGCAACTTTAAACTTGCACTTTGTTATACTAAATTTGAATGGGCTATAAAACTGCATACTTTGCATTTTTTTTTTTTTTTTTTAAATCTGACTAAAAAGTTGCAAATTAGTGTGCAAATTTAAAGAATTTTCCTGAGTTTTGCACAAAGTTTAGAGATTTTATTATTACGTTTTCTGGTGTAAAATGAACTATATTTTTATAAAAAATTATCGAAAATAAATTACAATAAAAAACTTTTCATATATGGCGTAAAATTCACTGTGCCAATACTTTTGTTCGTCACTGTATATATTTCTCGTTTTTATTTAACGAAGGCAAATTTGCTAAGCCCAGAATAGGCAGCGAAAATCCGATAAGTTCAAAATAATCCGAAATAATTAACATCGAATCCTTAAAAGTTTTTTGTAAAACAATTAAATAAAATAGCTATAAGAAGTTTTTTCACTTTAAGCTACCAAATAGCTGTGCAAATAGTTAATATATTTTGGCATTTGAACCCAATTTGCGAATATTTATTTTCCATGAATCGTCAAAAGTATTTTTAATTCAGTAAACGAAAGTATAATGCACTTTCCTATTATCCTCTTAAAATTGCAACAATACAAAATGAATGTACGATATTTATTGAGCATAAGTAGGTATTAAAATTTTATTTTCTATAAGTACTTAAGTATGTAGTGTGAATTAGTAGCAAGAAGCTGTTTAGTAGCTTACAAAAGAAAATTGAATATTGGCATGCAATAATTTCTGAAAGGAAATTCATACTTATACAAGTAGAAATTTACGAGAAATGCGGGTCGATAGCATAAAGAGCCTACTTTTAAAATAGGTGTCGTTGTTTTTTGTCTGTATTTGAATAGGCATTAATATAAGTACATACACTGAGCAAGTATGCCGCCACATATAATTCCATTGTAATAAAGGCTGCCGAATTGCGGCCAAGGGAGCTTATGCGCACGTATATACATACATACCCGTATAGTGTACATACATACATACATGCACATAGGTGCAATAGATTGCCTGTACAGAGTTTGACTTTAATGCTTACAAGCGAATTGCTTATATGCAAGTTCTTTGTGAGTAGTTTGTTTGGCTTTGATAAAAGTTTCGGAGCGTTTAAGAAAAAAGTTAAAAAAGATGGTTTAAAACGAAAGATCGCACAGACTTTTGCTAACTAATTTTAGGAGTATTTCTTTGAGTTTTACAGTTCCACAAATTTAAGGGATTTACAGAAATATGTTATTAAAAGTTCGTTAAAAATTTTGAAGTAAAATAAAATTGTTATACCGCTTTTCCAAAGGTGCTCTCGGAATCAGCCCCCTTTATAGACTTGCAACGTTTATTATTTTGAGCAAAAAGTGCTTTGAATATATGTACATTCATTTGAATGGAATAAATGTATGTAACTAAATAATAATTATATAGGTTATTGTGTTTAGTATGTACTTACTTACTGCATGAAATTCAAAAGTGAACTGGCTGTCTGCTAGCGTCGCAAAAGCTCGGTAACTACGTACACACGAATTGTACGTGAAAGCCGAGTGGCTCCGCTGCAAAAAATGCGACTAATCCGGGATGACTCCGGGAGTAATGGCAAAGGAACATGCGACTAATACCACTTTTGATTTCATTATATGGATTAAACTCTCCTGTTCGAGCACATCCTTTGAAGAGACTAATTGTTCCCAGCGACTAGTTACTTAAAAAAAAATAAAAAAAAAAATTTGCGCCAGCCGCGATTCGAACCAGGGTGTTCAGGTTTGTTAAGCGAATACTCTCTCTATGTGTCATGAAATTTCGTTGACTAAGTGCGTATATATCATTCAATCGTTAATAGTACCCGTTAGAAATGAGTCGGGGACTAATTTGATCTCCAATTATACCCGTAAGGGATGAGTCGAGACTAATTGATTCCAATTAGTGCCCCTATGAGATTAGTTGCGACTAATTAATGCACAATTGTACCCGATTGAAAATAATCTCGGAATAATATCTTTAGAGATTAGTCGCACAATTTTTTGCAGGGTCCGTTCGGCTCACGTGCAGGGCTACCAACTTGGCTCAAAATTAGAGGATTTTCGGAGTTTTCCCAAATTTTCGCTATTTTGGCGTTTGGACATTTTTTCAGCGTTTTTTCTTAGTTAGGTGGCAACTTTCATAACAGCGCTTCCTTATCAACCAACTCGAAAAGAGGAGAAGGCTACCAACTCGTCGGAATAATTTTTTTATGTATGTTACCGCATTACTTTGGACCACGTTAACCGATTTCTATAATTCTTTTTTTTTTAAAGGAAAGGTGTTACCTCAAAGGTCGTCCTATATCAATTTGTATTGGATCTTGAAAAATAAACGATCATCTGAAATTTTTATATGGAAACTGAAGTCGGCTTTGTTTTTTGCTTAAAAATTACTTGTTTTCTAAACCCTTATTTTTTGTGAAATCCAAATAAAAAATTATTTTCGAATTTTTTCTGAGATCTTTTGTTCGGAAATCGCTCTATGTACATACTTTTGGGACATTTTGCGTCTTGTTTTTAGAATTTATCCAGAATTTTTGGTATTTTTCTAGAAATTTTGAAGATTTTCGGAGTTTTCCGAAATATTCGCTATTTCGGGCCTTGGAACATTTTTTCTGCGTTTTTTTCTTAGATAGGTGGTAACTTTCATTACAATACTTCCTTATTTTCTAAATCCATATTTTTTGAGAAATCTAAATAAAAAATTATTTTCGAATTTTTTTCCAAGATTTTTTCGCAAATCGCATCTGTTCTTTAGCGATTTATTGTGGACTTTGGTGTTTTTTTTTATATAAAGGGCAACTCCCATGGAAATACTTCCTTCTTTAAAAACTTTATTCATCAAGAAAACCAAATAACCAAATCAAAAATTCTTCTATAGTTTCATATTGTGCAATTTAACATATCCCTGCTATTTGGGAATTTAGGAGTATTTAGTATCGAAATAAACTTTTATGAAACGACTGTATTTCAGTTCGCCAAATACTACTGTCCTTTTCTCAAAAAATACAGAGCACTGTCCGAAAGATAAGAAGCAAAAATTTAGCGAAACTTTTTGTGCTTTTTCGGTTTGGTGTCGACATTTTATTTTAAAACTTAAATTGAAAAAATATTCGGGGTGTGAGTTGTTATGCTTTTAAAATATTACACAGCCTATGGAAAATTATTTTCACTTTGTCAGGTATTAACTTTATCAAATCTTTGAAATTGATTTAAAAATACTTTAAATTATGTGGCAACTTTCAACCCAACAAAAGGAAAAGAATTTATATTTCTTGTAGATCTACATGAGCGTAATTGTGTGGATGTTGGTATTGAAGCCAGTCTTTGTTCCCTTTATCACAGCTCGCAAGTTGCCAACTGGCAAAGGGTAATTGGCAGCGCAATTCCATGCACACATGTGCATACACACATACATACAAAATAAATAAACTAGGCATTCAGTAAGGCAAATTGTAGCCCTGCAGATATACATATATGTACATACATTTATTGCCACATTTCCTCCTTCTTCACTCACCTCGGCAAGGAACTCGGTCGGCGCTGATATGCTTTCATCGGCATCCGTGTACTCCGATAAACTCTGGCTTAGATCCTCATTGGACACGGATGTGGGTAGTGTGGCTGCTGATACAATGCCGGGGCCAACGGCATTGACGTTGACGTTGACGTTGGTGTTGCCAACCGCTGTTGCCATTGTCACAGTCGAGGCCGCCACATTCATGATGTTAATGTTGTTGATATTATTTGTATTTGTGTTGTTGCTTATGATGTTAGCTGTGCTGATATTGTTGCTGTTGTTGCTATTGCTTATACTAATATTGCCCGCCAGTAAAATATTATTACTGTTGCTGTTGCTGTTGATGTTGTCGTTGCCGTTGCCGTTGCCGTTGCTGAGTATGCCGTTGCTTGCTGGTGTTAGTGCTGCTGTCACACTATTGGCTTTGGATGCGTAGACGCCATTACAATTCGTTTCATCCATGTAGAGCAGCTACGAGTTTAAAACGGGAAATTGGCAATGGCATTGAGGGAGCGGATTATTGCAATTAGAAAAGGTAATGAAAGGAGAACATTTATTTGCAGTGTGGTAGGTAATAAGATTAAATTCTGCATTTTATAAGTGTGTGGGGCAGTTACAGAAGCTTAAAGCAAACAAATTTATTGATCTATTACTGGATTAAATTATTTTAAAATGTCAAACTAGAATGCAGAAGCATAAATTTATAATCGAAAAAAATCGAAGCAACTTACGTTCGACATTTTGTTTTTCCGTAGTCCTCTCTGCTTTTGTGACAGCCACAGCAACACTCTTTACAGTAAAACCTATTAAAGTTGTAACCAAATATTTTTTAGTTTATTCTCGCAACAGCATTCTTTGCAACTTATGTAGTGTAGCGTTTTTTCAACTTGTTTCCGGAAGTTGGGAGTCGTTGAAAACTCTGTATATATGTATATGTGTGTATATATTTTTTTACTGTAGTTGCTTGCAGTTTGAGTGGTTTAAGTAGGTTTTTTGCTTTTATTGCAATTTTGGACAGAAATGAGTTTCATTTGGTAGATTGTCTGAAAAGAAAGAATATTGTTAATAAGTATTTGGCTAATCCAAAAGTATTGCCTTAATTGTTTTGATAGAAAATATTAACATAACACTATGTCTTCAAATATTTTTGGTAAGTGATGTGAAATTTTGTACTTATGAATTTTATTTTTCCCTCTCTAAGCCCCCAAACGGTTTGTTTTTTATTAGCAGGCGATAGTCCACGGTTCGATACCTGGACACAGCAACATCGAAGTTTTATTTACCCTCGGCAGGCACTGACAAACCTTCGAGGGTATATCTGCTATAAAACAGCTTCTCGTAAAATCTATCTGGCGTTTGGAAGTGACGCAACACTGTAGGCCCTTGCATTTGTTTGACAACATTTAGACGAAAACTGGAGGCAAAATATGTAGGAAAATATGTAAGAAGCAAATATGTACACTGCGGGCAAAAGGTATTGACACAGCTGCTTTTTTACAATATTTGCAACAATTTTTATTGTAATCTTTTCCCGCCAATTTTTATAAAATATGGTAAATTCTTCAACAAAAAACATAAAAATATAATTTTTAAACTTTGTGCAAATTTTAAAGTTTTTTATCAGATTTAGCAACTTTCATGCGCATGATTGTAAAAAAAAAAAAAATATATATATCGTGGGAAAATTACCTGGTATAGTATACAGATCCTTTATCTCTGATCCAAAATTAATTTTTTGTTGTATATATGAGTCAGGAAAAAATTATAAATCTTTAAAGGGGGACTAGTTCGGGATAGGCACCACACCTCTGTCTCAGTGGAAGTAAATTTCAGAAAATGTCTGTTATAACGCTGAAGAACCTTCATATTATTATATTTTTATTTTGACCTTCACTCGATGTATCACACATTGAAATCGCATTGCAAATATAATAATTATGAAAACTAGTAGTTAGTAATTTTTAAGGCAAGTTTTTAGGTTGGGCAAACTAATTTTAAAGTAAATTTTCAAACACACGTGATGGAACCTAATGTATACATATACATATATATATTTTAGCCGATGAAAAAATATCTTTCGTGTTGAAGATAGCAACTTTAAGAATTAATTTGATGAGAATGCAACGCTGCTTAAAAACAAGGGTTGAAAAAAAAAAAAAAAAAAATTGTGTTTCTAGTGCAGACTATGTAGTAACGTTAATGGTCAAAAATACTAGTTTTGCTAGTTATATTTTTTTTCTAAATATTGCTCGTCTTCTTTTAATCTCGACGTGTTTCATCAAGTTTCCCTACAAATATAACTAACTATTGTTTAATGTTGTAGCTCGTTTTTCACTAAGCATAGCTTCAGTGCACGCTTCCTCTAATTTAACATTGTACGTGTAGTCTGTGTAATTGCGCGCATACACATTTGTATATACGCAAATTACGGTGGTCCATAAATGCATGTGAAAAAATAACGTCGAAATTTGTATGCTCTCATCCCCTAGGATTGTGCTGTACCGAAAAAATTTTAATACTATTTTTTATTTTGAAATCAAAAAATAGAGGTCGCTCAAGGCGCTCAAAGGGTTCCATGTATTTTATATATAAAAAAAAAAAAAAACTTTTCGTTGATATGGTATAGAATTCTTGATAATCAATAATTTTCGATCGGAAAACTCTATTTCTCTTCAGGAGATTCCCAACTATTTATATAATAATTTTTTCAAACCAACTACATTTTTTGGGTCCCCCAAAACCCCCAGAAAATGCAATGCGGGGATAATAAATAATCTCTAGTTAGTTATTTTTCCCATGTAAAATACATTGAAAACTTTGAGCGCTTTGAGCGACCTACTAATTATTTTTTTTACTTCAAAATAAAAAATTAAGGGTATACTTTTTTCGGTATAGAAAAATCCTAGGGATGCTTATTTTGGACCACCCTAATATACATACATATATTTGTTTAATATAGGGGCTTAATTTTTTTCCTATGTTCATATATACATGCGTTCATATGTAGGCACATATGCACATATAAACAAACCCATACATATACAAAAGCGGCTATGCATAAATTTGTGCATCCCATGTATTTAAAAATTCTCTTTCATCGTCCACCAAAAGGGTCCCCTGCGGCACTTTCTCGTTTTTACTATTGAATGAAACTGGAAACTGGTATCCAAAGCGCTAATGAAAAACCAAAATAAAGNTTAGTTAGTTATTTTTCCCATGTAAAATACATTGAAAACTTTGAGCGCTTTGAGCGACCTACTAATTATTTTTTTACTTCAAAATAAAAAATTAAGGGTATACTTTTTTCGGTATAGAAAAATCCAAGGGATGCTTATTTTGGACCACCCTAATATACATACATATATTTGTTTAATATAGGGGCTTAATTTTTTTCCTATGTTCATATATACATGCGTTCATATGTAGGCACATATGCACATATAAACAAACCCATACATATACAAAAGCGGCTATGCATAAATTTGTGCATCCCATGTATTTAAAAATTCTCTTTCATCGTCCACCAAAAGGGTCCCCTGCGGCACTTTCTCGTTTTTACTATTGAATGAAACTGGAAACTGGTATCCAAAGCGCTAATGAAAAACCAAAATAAAGTCATCTATCCGTAAATCCCTTAAACTAAATACTAATGAAATTAAAAAATGGTGCAATGGTTCAGCTTTGAACCTCAATGCGATATTTGCCATTTGCATTTAATGGTTCACTGATTTTCAAAGGTTTCAACCATTTGCGCAAATCCAATTAGTGATCAGCATTTTTTTTCTTTTGAGCGAAATGCATTGCAATAGGCAAGTAAAGTGACGTAATTGAAGAAAAGGCGAACAAGGAATGAGGTAGTAGGAAGAATAATGAGCAAGTATTTGAATAACATTTGTGTACAAACGATTGCGAAAGGGCATTAGCAAAATGATAAGTAGCTAAGGTCAAGCGTTCTCAAGGTAACATACATGCAGAGAGACAGANCCGGCTATGCATAAATTTGTGCATCCCATGTATTTAAAAATTCTCTTTCATCGTCCACCAAAAGGGCTTCAGGGTCCGCTGCGGCACTTTCTCGTTTTTACTATTGAATGAAACTGGTATCCAAAGCTCTAATGAAAAACCAAAATAAAGTCATCTATCCGTAAATCCCTTAAACTAAATACTAATGAAATTAAAAAATGGTGCAATGGTTCAGCTTTGAACCTCAATGCGATATTTGCCATTTGCATTTAATGGTTCACTGATTTTCAAAGGTTTCAACCATTTGCGCAAATCCAATTAGTGATCAGCATTTTTTTTCTTTTGAGCGAAATGCATTGCAATAGGCAAGTAAAGTGACGTAATTGAAGAAAAGGCGAACAAGGAATGAGGTAGTAGGAAGAATAATGAGCAAGTATTTGAATAACATTTGTTTACAAACGATTGCGAAAGGGCATTAGCAAAATGATAAGTAGCTAAGGTCAAGCGTTCTCAAGGTAACATACATGCAGAGAGACAGACAAAAAGGCAAGAGTGTCGTAGCAACAATTGGTCAAGTATCTGATATGTATAGTAACATGCATTTGTATCTAATTGAATGAATAAATTGTCAGCTATTTAAAATCAAAAGTGAAAACAAATGATTCACTATTTTACAGTGTAGAGTAGTAGGAAACGTAATTGTTGCCCGAAATGTTTGTAGAAATTTTTTACACTAAACTAAAGGCCAATTAAAAGCTTAAAAGAAGTGGACGCCGTTATGGTATAGTATAGAGTAAGTGGCAGAGGTCTAAATGTTTTTTATCAATGCCTAAGGATAGTAAGCTACGACATTTGTTGAGAATATTCTACTGGCGTTGAGTTCCTAATTACATAGAAACTATTTAGTGATGGCTGTAAAAGTAACATTGGGAAGAGATTTGAAATCTTCACTTCAAAGGGAATATGCTTCGGTTTTCCCAACCTGTATTGTTTATTTGCGCTTAAGTCGTTGGCCACACTTCTAAGTACTTCAAAACTAGGCAATGCACGACTCAGCTAAATTATGTTGGCAAATATAACGAACTGGTTTGAGTCTACATACTCATGAGTGAAAGATCACAATTGAATTTCTCATCATTTGGTTTTTGTCGTCAGGCGCCATCTGTCGCCCCCTATGTGCGATCTAGGCGGCCATAAGTCAGTTTTGAAAAATTTAAACTTTCACAGCGAATGTTCACCGCTGAGCGGAATTAGAGTATTCTAACGCTTAGTATAGATTGTGAGGGATTTAAGTAAATATTTTTGTGATTAAAGACTTGTTTAAAAATATATTTACAGGGTAAATCTGGCAAGTATCTTTCAACTCACCGCAGCCTTTCAAAATACAATATTGGAAAATGCTTTGAAAGCTCTTTACTGTTACTTTATATGGAAAAATACGCGGTTTCGTATTTTAAACGACGATATGCATATTATTTACGGGAATACAAACTAATAAATAAAAGAACATTAAATTAAATAAAGAAAAAATAAATAAAATGAAACAAAAATTAATAAAAATATTTTTAAATACTAAATTAAATAAAAGCAAATATTTTTTATTTTGAAAGCAATAACATGTAAAAATTCAGTTAGAAAAAAAAATTGAACCAAAAAAGTGGAAAGTAGTACATACTTAAAAATTAAAACAAAATTTTAAAATCAATTTTAAAAATTACCGAAAATTAAAGTTAAGAAATAATAAAATAATATCCTAAAAATTACATGAAATACAAAAAGTTTATTTTTGTTTTTAAAACAACAAAATCTAAAAACTAAATTAGCAAAAACAATTTAAAACAAGAAAAGAAAACAATACGTTTCTAAAAAAGTAAATGTAATTTAAAAAAATTTTAGTTTGGTTTCAAACAACAAAATCTAAAACCTAAAAGAAAAGTAAACACAAAAAAGAAAGAAACATTAAAAAAATAAGTGCCTTAAAATTAAATGAAATTAAAAAAATATTATTTGTTTTTAAAAATAAGAAAGAAAAAAGTTAAAAGGAAACAAATAAGATAAGTAAATTATATATTTTCTTTTC